ACGAATCCATTATTATCATTATCGACTCAGTCTCCGCAAACCTCCGCAGGGTTTGTCCACTTAGTGGGGCCACTGCATGCTAGAATTAGGGTTTAGGGTTTAGGGTTTAGGGTTTAGGGTTTAGGGTTTACCCATCCGTGGCAGTCATCGACGAATCCATTATTATCATTATCGACTCAGTCTCCGCAAACCTCCGCAGGGTTTGTCCACTTAGTGGGGCCACTGCATGCTAGAGTTAGGGTTTAGGGTTTAGGGTTTAGGGTTTAGGGTTTACCCATCCGTGGCAGTCATCGACGAATCCATTATTATCATTATCGACTCCGTCCCCACAAACCTCCGCAGGGTTTGTCCACTTAGTGGGGCCACTGCATGCTAGAGTTAGGGTTTAGGGTTTAGGGTTTAGGGTTTAGGGTTTACCCATCCGTGGCAGTCATCGACGAATCCATTATTATCATTATCGACTCCGTCCCCACAAACCTCCGCAGGGTTGGTCCACTTAGTGGGGCCACTGCATGCTAGAATTAGGGTTTAGGGTTTAGGGTTTAGGGTTTAGGGTTTAGGGTTTACCCATCCGTGGCAGTCATCGACGAATCCATTATTATCATTATCGACTCCATCCCCGCAAACCTCCGCAGGGTTTGTCCACTTGGGTTTGTCCACTTGCTGCGCTGCAGCTCCGGGTGGTTAAGATCGCAGCCACTGTCGATTATTGCGATGACCATTGGTCTGCTGCTGCCGGTCCAGAGCTTCCAGACTTTTTCTGCGTTGATGCTGAAGGCCGCGGCTTGCTGCAGGTTCCACTGCTGCGCGAAAAACGGGTCGTTCGGGGGCACTGCTTCTGCTGCTGCTGCTGCTGCTGCTGCTGCTGCTGCTGCTGCTGCTGCGGGGGAGCGGGCGGCGGCGGGGGACTCTGCTGCAGCTGAGGCTATTACGCGGCGGCTCAGCTCCAGCAGGCCAGGCCCTTGCTGCAGCCGACGCGCAGCTGCAGCAACAGACACCTCCTGCTGCTGCTGCTGCTGCTGCTGCTGCTGCTGCTGCTGCTGCTGCTGCTGCGGGGGGGGGTCCGGCTCTTCTATGAATTTGCTGCTGTCGCGGAAGCCCCGCTGCACGCAGGGGATCTCGGGAGTCACGCTGAGGACTTCGTTTGGAGAAACTCCTTCGGGAAGTTTTGTAATTATTTCCATTTCCAAAGCTGAGAGGTAGCGAGTTTCCATGCCCGAGACGTCGGGGCTGACAGCAGCAGCAGCAGCAGCAGCAGCAGGGTCTGCTGCTGCTGCTGCCCGCAGCAAGTCCGTGTTCAGCAGCGCCTCCGTGTGCTTCAGCTGCTTCTGCCGCAGCAGCTGCGACACTTTGAACTTCAGCGCAGCAACTGCTGTTGACCTGGCTTCTTGGCCGTGCAGCAGCTCCACTTCTTCTGCTGCTGCTGCAGCACCGTCTGCTGCTGCTGCTGCTGCTGCTGCTGCTACCTGACACCCTTCTAAAGGATAAGCCAGCACCAGCTTCGCAGTTTGCTGCGCTGCTGCCAGCCGCATGCGTTCCTTCTCAGCAGACACCCAGCAGGAAGAAGGCGGCACTTCTGCGTCCAGCAGCGGCACCCCTGCTGCTGCTGCTGCTGCTGCTGCCGCTGCTGCTGCTGCTGCTGCTGCCGCCGCCGCTGCTGCTGTAGGCGGCGACTGCGCCGCGGAAGACTCGCGCGAGAACGGACACGGCTCCTCGGCTTCTGCTGCTCCTGCTGCTCCTGCTGCTCCTGCTGCTGCTGTTCCTGCTGCTGCTGCTGCTGCTGCTTCTGCTCCTGCTCCTGCTGCGTCAGTCGACCCGCCGTTCCCTGCTGCTTCTGCTGCTGCTCTGTGTGCTGCTGCTGCTACCCTCTGTGCTGCTTCCGCTTCTCCTGCTGCCGCTGCTTCCGTTGCTGCTGCGCCTGCCCCTGGGGGCGCTCCCGCTGATTCGGCTGCTGCTGAAACGGCAGTAGCAGCAGCAGCAGCAGCAGCAGCAGCAGCTGAAGACGGAGTCGGAATTTCATGAGGCTCCCACCCGCTGGGGTCTTCCAGGTCCCGGGGGGCCCCTGAAGGTGCCCCAAAGTCATTGGGGGCCCTCAAGTCGTTGAGGGCCCCCCAATCGTTGGGGGCCCCCCAATCGTTGGGGGCCCCCCAATCGGTGGGGCCCCCCCAATCGTGGGGGCCCCCCAAATCGGGGGGGCCCCCGCTATTAGGGGGCCCCCCATTTAAAGAGGCGTCTCCAAGTACAAGGGCCTCTTCAGCCCCCAGAGGGGGGCCCCTAGCTTCGTGAGCTGCTGCAGCAAGTGTAGCAGCAGCTGGGGGCCCCCTCTGGTCCGTGGGGGCCCCCTGGAGGTGGGTGGGGGCAGCAGCGAGGACGCAGCAGCTTGCTGCAGCAGCAGCAGCAGCAGCAGCAGCAGCAGCCGTGAGTCTCCTGCGTTTGCTGTTGCCAATAGGCAGAGGCAGGAGGGAAAAAAGAGACAAGAAAGACCGCATTGGCAAAATCCCCGCAAAGGCCACTTGCTGGGGGGGGGGGTGTTGGGGCTGCTGCTGGGGGT